TTTTTCTTATAAATAAAAATAAAAATAACTCTAATTAGAGTGAAAAAAAAAAAATCACCTTAGCAGCCTGGAAGCCTGGAGCCTTTGTTTTTCAAACAGAAAGTTTCTGAAGTTGAATGGGCATGAAAATACTGGGGAAATGCTATGTAAAAGCATGAAAATGAAAGACACTTCAAATAAGAGAAATCAAATAGTACAGAGGACTATTTGACAAATTCTGAATTCTAGTGACAGGCAGCTTAGGGGGTTACACAGGTAGAAAAGCCTTCATTCCATTATATGGTTAAATACCTGTGACAGGCTTTGTTTTCTCTTTCTCCATCTAGCATAGATGATCAAGCCATACTATTCAAAGGGAAAATGTTTTTTTTTTTAAAACATTTATTCTGAATGTTTATATTTTTATGCTAAAGATATTTGATATTATATATATTGTGTATGTTTATACATATGAAAATACATTTCAAAAATCTTCATTTTCATTGAGACTACTCCAGGCCACCCCTCCAAACACCTTACTCTCTATTAGACTAGAACCATAAGAGGAAAATAACTAGAATCTTGTGCTGTCTTAATAGTTAACATCAATTTTCAAATAGTTGTTGAGTTCCAGAATGCCTGGAATAATCAACAACAACCCAAGTAGCTACCTCAAACAAGTACAGGGCAGTAAGAAATCATTCTTTTCAATCTGGAAAGGATTAATAAATAATTCCTTCACACCATAAGGTGGTGGACCAAATGGTTGATGTTTTCTTTTCTTTTTTTTTTTTTGCAGTTTCAATTAGATACCCTACAATGGCTTAATAATGATGATTAAACATCTAAGAAAGAATTGAAACAATGGCGCTAATGGAATGAATTTCTGTGCTTAAACTCTCAAGAGGATGAGAGAGAGGAGGAAAGGAAGAGGGAATGAATCAATAATGGATACTTGAGGAACACAGGATCCCATAGGGGAGAATCAATCCCACAATACCTTCATAATATCTTGCTTTTCGGGGACTGCACATTGCTGGTAATCTCGATGATTAGGAAGCTTTTCTACAAACAAGCTACAGAGCAACAAAAACACAGCATTAGCGTCAAATGACAAAGAGGTCAAAATTGTTTCTAATATAAAGCATCCATTTTTAAAATGGTATGGTTAAGGACCTATTATTTTACATATTCTTCTCTCCAGCCTTGGCTGAGAAGCAGCAGGAGTATTGGCATTAAAAACCCCAAACCTGTTGTCATAAAGTTGATTTGAACTCATGCGTTACAGAGCAGAACTCCTCCACAGAGTTTTCTTGATTATAACTTCTACGGACATAGACTTCTAGGCTTTTATTCCATGGCACCACTGAGTGGGTTTAAATGGCCAGCCTTTAGGTTGGTAGTTGAGCACACACCATTTGTGCCACCTAGAGACCTATTTTGGCATTAAAAAACCAAAATTGTTGAGTCGATTCTAACTCATAGCAACCCATTAGGACAGAGGAGAAACTGCTCCCTAGGCTTCCAAGATTAAGTCTTTAGGGAAGCAAACTGCGTCAGCTTTCTCCTACAGAGCAGTGGTGGGTGGTGGTAGTGATCGTGCGCTGTGAAGTTCTGACTCACAGCGACCCTGTATATGGTTCACAAGGCTGTAAATCTTTACAGGAGCAGAAAGCCTCATCTTTTTCCCACGTAACAGTTGGTAGTTTTAAACTGATCTTGAGATTAACCACTACGCTACCAGAGCTCCTTTGCCAGCCGTTTGGTTAGCAGCCCACCAGTGCGCCTTTATTTATGCATTACAAGGCAGAAAATTGCAGCAAACTGAGAACTGATACTAACCTCGGTTCAGGTCAGGGATCCGCCTAAAGAAAAAAGTCACCTTATCTTGTCTCAAGGGAGCTCTGGTAGCGTGGTTACGATTCGGGCTGCAAACCTCAGGTTCAGCAGTTCGAAACTACCAGCTGTTGCGCGGGTGAAAGATGAGGCTTTCTGCTCCCATAAAGATTTACAGCCTCAGAAATCCTGTACAGGGTCGCTATGAGTCGGAACCGACTCCATGGCACATAACAACAACAACCCTGTCTCAGGTTCTGCATTACAACCTTAACCCTCGCCCCGCCCCACCCCCAGTCTCTTATCTTCCTACTTCCTACTTGTCTGTGCTGCTGGCCCCTGAAGAGTTTATGTAAAAATGGAAGAGTTTGGAAAGATCAGTGTAGTCCCTTCTCACACTTGAAGAACCAATCCTGCATCAGTAGCACTTCTTTTGTGTATAACAAAATCTCGGAACTGAAAGTTTGTAACTAAGAGACAAGACGGCAGGGTTTCTAGTGGATTCGAAGGTGTTTTAGCCAATGCTAGAGAGAGTTCTTATTTCATTGCCTTTTTGAAGAACAAGGGGCAGCAGAACTGAAAGGAAGTCTCTACAGCTAACTAGGTACATGACTTCTAGACAAAGGGAACCCTGTCATTTTTGTCACGATGTTTCCCCATCCTGTAGAATAGTTCTCGGCTCATAATTAATGTTCAAGAAATATTTGCCAAACAAATGAAGAGTCCTCCCTTGATGGATTATCAAGGGCTATAAATGTTATTTTTAATCAATATGCAATATCTCATCATTACTTGAAGTTCCATTGTTTACGAAGCACGCATTCTTTTAATCCAAATGCCATGATACGTGTGAACAGTAAGTACCACAAGTCACATTTCTCAAATGAGAAAATCCAGGCATATTACATGACAAGTGTCATAAAACCAGGGGTATTTAGGGTTGAAAAGTCCTCAGGCGTCATCTCTCACCAGTCTTTCATTTACAGATGGGGAACTGAGACTCAAATCGTCACATTCTAATAATAAAAGATAATTCAAATACTCAGTGGATTCAAGAACTCAGAGTACCAGTGAGCTTTTGCCTTAATTCCATGTCTATACAAGTGTGTGCAAAACTCAAATAGAAGGTTAAAAACAGATCGCATCAACAATTATCCTGGATACGTTAAGTTCAGGGTCCTGGCGTGCTGTTGTAGGATAAGCATTCGACCATAGCACAAGGTTGGCTGTTTAAACTCACCAGCTGCTCCTTGGAAACCCCATATAGCATCAGGATGAGCTGGAACCAACTCGACGGTACTTAACAACAACAACATGTTAATGTTCAGACACAACAAATTTCTGTCAATGCGATTGAAAGTCCCAGATTCATGTTGCGGAGCTTTCTAGAAACAAGTGATTTTCCCAGATAGGGTGACTGTTGCCAACCATTCTCTAAGTTCCCAAGAAGTCAAGTTACCATGAATAAAATGCAGATACCAATTTGGATACTTTGTAAAGTGTTTTTAATTGTCCCCTGGCAGAATCATGGATTGCAATTTTAAAAATAGCTTCTCTTCTCAATTTTTCAAATTTTCTCAGTTTACAAATTCCCAAATGAGACTAGTGAAGCCAATGTTGATAACTGAAGACCTTTCCAACCAGAAACTGGCAAATTAGTAGGGAAAACAAAATTCTATTTCTGTTAACTCATAAACTAGAAGATGTTAATAATGAATATGTATCTAATGTTGTTGTTTAGTGCTGTCAAGGTGGTTCCAACTCATACTGACCCTGTATAGTGTTTCCGAGAAGCGGCTGGTGGATTTGAACCATCAACTGTGCTAATAGGGAGTCTAATTTTACATGGTTGTCATGATGTAGCCTCTTTCACTCAGTATTTTGTAACTTTTTTTGTCCATAGCCTTCTTACCCAGCCAAGTAAATTGCCTTTTAAAAACATGATTACATACCATGTGACCTCAGGAGCCCCTGTCTGGTGTAAAGAGTTCACACGCTCCATTGGTAACTGAAAGACTGGAGATCTGAGTCCACCAAGAGGCACTGCAGAATTCAAAGACCTGCTACTTTTGAAAAATCCATCACTGGAAATCCCGTGATATACATGCACTGCCATGAGTCACAGTCAATTCAATGACAACTATTATCTGTTTTTGTTGTTTTTATGTGAGTCTGACTCCTACACCCTCACCTTAAGTCCTCTCTATGATCCCCAGCCTGTCCCCAAGTCTCACCCCACCAAATCAAACTTTTAAAATGTTGATCGCATGTTCGAGGTGCTTTAAACAAAGCTGCTATTTAGCTCATAAAGCTGGCATCCCTGTGAGGGAGAAAAGCATCAAACAAGAAATATTTGTGAAGAATGGGATAGAAAGAGACATGGGAGGTGAATTATGCTCGTCTATGAAGAGGGGCTTTGACCTCCGTAAGCCTCATCCTATCCCTGAATTTACTCAGTCCCTAAGCCTTAGAGATGGTATGAGGGATGCCTTTGAACACATTACTTGATAATTTAAAGACATAAAACTTAACATTTTTGGAGATTTCTAAAATTTGTCTGAGTGCCAAAATGTTCCTGCCAAGTAAACAGCACCACCAAAATATCAAGTAAGTATTGTTACAATTTTCTCATTTCAAAGTATTTCAAAATGAAAGACTCACGTGATAAATTTATTATAAAGAACAAAGGCATTTTCCAAATTTCCTTCTTCCAAATACACAGATGCCATCCTCTCCATTTCTACTCCAGATCTAAAGTAGCGGCGCGGAGTGATGTCTTCGTTGATTGTAATATTACAACCAAGCTTGCTTAGGGCTCGGACTCGCTCCTCTGGGCTTAAGGAAACATCCGTGTGGTCTGGCATAGCCGCCAACTTTTTCTGCAAAGCAAAATTTGAATCTCTGGTTATAATAAGGAAAAGCTATATAACCACAGGACTCCTGGTGTGGTGCCATAGGATCAGCACTGGACTTCGAACCACAAGGTTGGCAGTTCAAACCCACCAACATCTCCTCAGAAACCTTATATAGGGTCGCTATGAGTTGGAACTGACTCAACATAACAACAACAATGTAATCACAAGGTGAACGGTTCAAATCCACCAGTTGCTCCTTGAAAATCCTATACAGAGTTACGGCAACTCACAACCAACTAGATAGCACTAAACAACAATAGCATGGCTGAAATAATAGATGTATTTTCTGTGCTTGGCATTAATACTTAAATCTTTTCAGATGACTTCATGATATGATGAAAGTTGAGTATTTTTTTGGTTGTTTGTTAAAGGTCAAAGACATGGTCTCCATACCAAACAAGTATACACCTCCATGGTAGGCATGTGTTTCAGAGTATAATTATGTGGCAGTCATGGGTATTCAAATGTCTTAGATTGTTTTAGGTCAATAGCATTGACCTTTAATTCCCCATAAGGAGCCATGGTGGTGCGGTGTGAATTTAGCATTAGGCTGCTAACCAACAGGTGGGCGGTTCAAATCTACTTACTGCTTGGAGAAAGAAAGATGAAACTACCTGCTTCCTTAACATTTACAGTCTTAGAAACCCTGTGGAGCAGTTCTCTACCCTCCAGGGACAGAGGTAGAATTGTCTGGATGGGAGTGTGTTTATATCCCCATGGATGCCTTCATCCTGGGTCATGGGTAGCAGGCCAAGTAATGGCTGCTTCCCAAGGTGTGGCTCATGCCATTCTACCTTGAATGAGCGATGAGAAGTAGCTGGGCTTCAGTCACCATAAAGATTCCATTCTTTTCTGGATACATTTTCTTGAGTAAGAAGTATTCAGGGCCTCCATGAATCTTCTCTGAGTCACCTATAAAACCTGGAGAAGTCTTTTTAAGCCTAAGGGAACCTCTCCCACCACCTCCCCGCAAAAGACTCTTGGTTATTGTTGTTATGTGCCGTGGAGTGGATTCCAACTCATAGCAACCCTGTACAGGGTTTCCAAGGCTGTAAATCTTTATGAGAGCAGAAAGCCTCATCTTTCTCCTGCGGAACAGCTGGTAGCTTTGAACTGCTGATCCTGAGGTTTGCAGTCTGATTTGTAACCACTACACTACTAGAGCTCCTTTGTTGTTAGACCTCTACATAATAGCAATCACACTTCTAACCATGCCCTGATGAGAACATGATACAAAATTCCAAAGAAAAAGTCAGCAGTATCATTAATAAATTTATATTTTATTAATGCAAACAGCATCTATATACATTTGGAAATGTACAAGGCATATGCTTTCAGGATAACTACTCAAATGGTCAATAAAGAGTCCTTCCCTTAGATAGCTGTTATTGTTTTTAAGTACCATTGAGTTGGTTCTTACTCATAGTGACCGTGTATAGGATTTCTGAGGTACAGCTGGTGAGTTTGAACCGCCGACCTTGACGTTCAAGACAACCTTGCGGTCCAGCACATTAACCCCCAGCACCATACCAAAACTTTAGATAGTTGTTGTTAAGTAGGTTTAATTCATAGCAACCCTGTATAGGGTTTCCAAGAAGCCTCTGATGAGTCTGAACCGCTGATCTTGTGGTTCAAACTGATTTTGCAGTCCAGCACATTAGCCCACAGCGCTACACCAGGGCTTTAGATTAGATATCTATAATTTTATTTATCTGTAAATGGCGTGTTGATAAATATTTTAGGTTTTATAAGACATGTGGTCTCTGTCACATCTACTCAGCTCTGCTGGTGTGGACACAGCCATAAACATTATGTAAATGAATGAGCATGACTATGTTCCAGGCTATATTTTATTTGTTTGTTTGTTTGTTTGTTGTTTTTATTACGTGCCATCCAGTCGGTATCAACTTATAGCGACCCTATGCACAACAGAATGAAACACTGCCTAGTCCTGGGCCAACCTCACAATTGTTGCCATGCTTGAGCCCATTGATGCTGCCACTTTGCCAATCCATCTTGTTGAGGGTCTTCTTTTTCTCTGACCCTCAATCTTACCAAACATAATATCCTTCTCCAGCAACTGGTCCCTTCTGACTATATGTCCGAAGTTATGAGAGATAAAGTTTGGCCATCCTGGCTTCCAAGGAGTACTCTGGCTGCACTTCTTCAAACACAGATCTGTTGGTTCTTTTGGCAGCCATGGCACTTTCAATATTCTCCTCCAACACCATAACTCAAATGCATCAATTCTTCTATGGTCTTCCTTATTCCCTGCTTAGCTTTTGCATGCATATGAGGTAATTGAAAATATCATGGCTTGGGTCAGGTGCACCTTAGTCCTCGAGCTGACATCTTTGCTCTTCAACACTTTAAAAAGGTCTTGTGCAGCAAATTTGCCTAACGCAATATGTTGTTTGATTTGACAGCTGCTTCCATGAGTATTGATGGTTGTTGATACAAGAAGAATGAAGTCCTTGACAACTTCAATCTTTTCTCTGGTGATAAGAATGTTGTTGATTGGTCCAGTGGTGAGTATTTTTGTTTACTTTACATTGAGATATAATCCATACTGAAACCTGTGGTCTTTGATCTTCATCAGCAAATATTTTAAGTCCTCTTCACTTTCAGAAAGCAAGGTTGTATCATCTGCATATCGCAGGTTGTTAATGAGTCTTCCTCCAATCCTGATGCCACGTTTTTCTTCATAGAACCCAGCTTCTCAGACTATTTGCTCAGCATACAGCTTAAATAAGTATGGTGAAAGAATACAACCCTGACACACACATTTCCCAATTTCAAACCATTCAGTGTTCCCATGTTCAGTTTGAACAACTGCCTCTTGGTCTAGTTACAGATTCCTCATGAGCACAATTAAGTGTTCCGGAATACTCATACTTCGCAATGTCATCCATAGCTTGTCATGATCCACCCAATCAAAACCCTTTGTGTAGCCAACAAAGCACAGGTAAACATTTTTCTGGTATTCTCTGCTTTCAGCCAAGATCCACCGGACATCAGCAATGATATCCCTCATTCCACATCCTCTTCTGAATCCGGCTTGAACCTCTAGAAGTTCTCTATCAATGTATGTTTGCAGCCGTTTCTGTATCATCTGAGGAGTCCCTAGGTGGTATATCTGCTTCTGAAAGGTCACAGTCTTGTGAAACTCACAGAGTAGCTCCATTCTATACACATGGGGTCACCATGAGTCAGGATCCATTCCACAGGACGTAACAACAATCATCACTGATACTCCCAGAATGAAATTAATTAGTCCAGAACTAAGCTAGCTTCCTGAGTCGTACTCCATGAGTTAAAGACATGTTGCAAGCATACTAACGGGTGAACAGGTAACTTGATTAAGGTCTGTAGAAAGTTATAGAAGCAATCAAGGTAGTAACTGCTGTAGCTGGCCATAATTTATTGAGTCAACCTTCAGGGACAGGGTATAATGAATTGAATTTTTGGAGTTAACACCAATGCCATCTCGTTTACTGTGATGGGAATTTTATAGCCAATAAAGAGGTCTGAGTTGACTGTCACTCCTAAAAGCTTACTGTATAACCAGGAAGCACTGTGCGTGTTTCTGAAGACAGCATTGGGTCAGAAGCAGGCTATCCTCTTGCATCTTCTCATTCTCTTTTGACGTGGCCTTGAGCTAAGTCGTTGAGTCTTCCTACATATCTTCCTTCACTTGGAAGCTCACAGTGCCTGCACTTCCTTGTCCTCAAGATCTTGAGTTATTTCCCCTGTCACTGGGCAGGACATGAATTCACAAAGGTTTTGTTGTATTTATTTTTAACACAATAACAACAATAATAAAAGCCCATCTGATCCCAAGGTTATTTCCTCTGTACCACACAGTTTCTTCTAAGCTATAGTTGGAGAAATGGGCATAGTCTTGGGCAGCATAAGGGAAAATATGAGCACAAGAGTTCCAAGTATGTACATATTTACTACAAGCATCCCAAAGCAATATGAAGGTATTTGATAAATGTTGTCCTCAGTCCTTACCACATAAAGTAAGCTTCCAATTTTCATCTGTTGAGAAAATGAGGTAATCATAGCACTACATGCCTGGAATCTAGCCAAATAAAAACTTAATACTTTTGTGGGAAAAAATCCCCACTTATTTTTAATTTTAGTAAAGATGGCTTTATTAGTCACTTCCTGAAAGGAGACAGCCGTGCAGATGTATGAACAACTACAAATGCTAAGCTTCTTGAAGTAATTATGACTCATTTGACACTTTGTATGTTTCTGTTCTTCTTTTGGGGTTTTTTTCCCCCCATAATATTTAAAATATCAGTTGGTGCTACCTACCAGAGAATTCACAGTAAATGGCTGATCCATGTTTTCCTGTCCAAAAATGAAAATCTTCACTGCTTCTTCTCAATCACTTCATCTGTTTCAAAGAGAAAAAGCAGAGCTCGGGTTAGAATCCAAGTTATTTCTGCCTCAGATGAATATGAACAAATTAAAGTAACATATATTTCATCCTGAGATTTTAAAGCAACTGTTGGAAATCTCTTTCTGAAAATACAACACTGCAGATAATTTTGACTTCTTGAAGTAGAACTTTAAAAGTAGAGGCAGGGATGGAATTATTCTTTGACTAACAGCCAATGTGAATGTGTTGGAGAGGCATACCGCTTAGAACTCTACATAGGTTATAAAGTAGGTTTGAGTCCTGGTGTGGCGCTGTGGGATAAAGCACTGGACTGCAAGGTCGGTTTGGACTGGGTCGGAACCCACTTCATGGCACTTAACAATAACAACTATCTTCTAAAGTATAAACAATATCATGGTGGTTCAGAACATGGACTAGTAGCAAGATAGTCTAGATTTAAACTAAGTTTTAACATGTATTTGCATGGTAGGTAAAATTCTAAGATGGTCCCTGTGACTCCCACCTCTTGAATGTATCCATGTTGTTGTTGTTGCTGTTAAGTGCCATTGAGTTGGTTCTGACCCATAGCGACCCTGTATAGGGTTTCCAAGGAGCAGCTGGTAAGCTTAAACTGCCAACCTTGCAGTCCAAAGGACTTTGCAGTCTGACGCACTAACCCACAGCACCACACCAGGACTCCTCAGATGGATCCATAGTTTGATGTAATTCCACATCCCCTTGAATGTGGGTGGAAGCTGTAACTTGTTTCTA